CTCCACGAGAAAGGCCCGATGACCCTGAATGGCCCTGATCCTCACTGGCGTCCATCTGAGCTTTCCGGACGACAAGCCGTTCACCTGGACTCTGAAGCGACGCATCGGAGAGTTGCGCACAACCATCAAAACTTCTTCTTCTCGAAGGTGCGCAAAATCTCCTTGGAGATGCCTCACCAATGCCTTGAAGTCCATTGACAAATCAGTCCTCCGAATCTCAGGTGATGGCCTCCTGTGAAACATTCGATGGCCACGGAGGTAGTCGGACATAGCATGGGAAATTGATCCAAGCCTCCCGTAGTCCACCTTGCGCACAGGAACTCCTGCCATGTTGTCCGGCTCAATCCAAACCAGATCCTGTGCTGAGGCAAATTTCGACGTGTCAAACTGTTCAGCACTTGGCCCATGTCCCTCATCCACAACCTTCAATCTCTTTGGCATGGCCTTCTTCTTGGGCTTGAGCTTGGACGTCGGGTCAGAAGGCGTGGCTCCCGCCGACGCAGCTGCAGTGGTGTCAGTTCGCCATGTCTTTGCAGATGAGGTGCTCTGAGCCATGTCAGTTTTCCACGTCTTTGCCGATGACGAGCTCTGGGCCATCTCCGTCTTCCAGGTCTTCGCTGATGCCGTACTCTGGACCATCTTGTTGCCCTGATCATCAACATCCATGGGCTCCGGGTCCCCCCGTGCATCAGACTTCGAGGCCTGCATAGAAGAGACCTTTTCGATCACGGCCATGTCGTCATCGTCATCATCAATCGGCTCTGCCTGCCCCTCCTCAGCGTCGTGGAACTCCTCTTCATCGACAATCTCCACCGAAGCCACCGTCTCGAGGTCGTCAAGGTCCAGCTCCTTTTCCTCTTCATGTACTGGGTCACTGGCCACGACTCCCGGCGGGCGTTTGTCATCCTCAATGAGGTCCCACCCTTTGAAGTCCTCGTCTTCATCCTCAGCCGCATAGGTGGCATCTTGCCATTCTTGGTCGTGCTCCTCTGAAAGGCCTTTTCGCCTCGCCAAAATTCGATCATCCATGGTGAGGGCCTGAACTTTGACAGCCTCATTGTCCGAATCAGCGTTGTCATGGTGCATTGGTTCCAATGCCTGGTCCTCTTCAGGAATGTCACGCAACCAGGACTCGACCTCCCGGTCGGCAGAGGCTGTGGCGCTCTCCTCAGCTTGAAGCACCCAGTTGAAAATCTCGATATCTGCATCCAACATGAGCTTCTCAGGATCAGGTCGCTGAGGAAGATCTTTTGGAGAGGATACATTCGAATCGATTTCAAGCTGGCACGCGGCCTTGAGGATGGTGAGGTTCGGGTAGTTCTTCTGCTCCTGGAGATCGTCAATTCTTGGGAGCGTTCTCAAGTGATCGTCGACGCTGATGAGCTTGAGGTAGGCAAGGTGGCAATCAGCGACGGCTTGGAGGAAGTTGGTGACATACTTCCGGTTGATGTCGTCGTCTTCCAAGTGCACCTTGTCATATCTCACAGTTCTGGCAAGCATCAAGGTGGTGTCCAAAGTTTGAATACCATGGTCCGCTCGAAGTGCCCTGATGTGGACCCGCATGGTCTCATTGTAGGCTGACGGGAGAGCAAAGATTTCCGCGTCAGCGTTCCCAACGACCACGATGTCCAGGATCCGAGGCTCATCACGTTTGAGCTGGCCCAGTTCGTTGACGGACCGCTCGACTCTTGCCTTTTGCCGTTCACACCAGTTGGCCGTGACCTCCCGGTCGGCAGCAGACTTGTTGTAGGCAGCCCTGTGGATCCAATGGACACCTCTGTAACCCCCTTCGCCAAACACATCATTGCCGGCCCACCCCACTATGACCAACACCGGCAAAACCGGGCGACCATGTGCACGATTGGTGGACTCGATGTCATCGATGGCCTCGGGGATGTACTGCACCATGTGGTTCAAACCTTTGCCCCACAACATTTTTGTGTAAATGCCACGGATGTCTCCCCAGGGCTTCAAAAGATCGCCTCCGGAAAAACACGAAGCCTTCCCTGCTTGGGGGTCAGGTACCAGAGCAAGAGATGAGTCTGATACGATCAGCAGGTCGACCTCGCCTCCCGGCGGGTAGGGGCACATGGCCAAGAACCCATCGGGCGTGTTCTTGTAGACCTCCGCGAGCGTGTCGTATGCCCCTTCAGCATTGCCACCACCCAGCATCGGCTCGACGATATTCGCCAGGGGTAGGCGGCATCCCTCCATCTCTCGCAAGAGCACCTGTGGGTCGTCCCACGTCGCAACCGCAATGGCTGCCTTCAGGGTGTTGACCACACTTTCCCATTGGGTGATGCGCTCGAGGATGGCGGGCCTCCCGGCAACCGCACAGGCCTTGGCCATCTGGATTGCACGAGTCAACATGACGAAGACGGGAGAACAAAAGGGCGCGATGAGTGCACAGCAAGTTAGCTTGAGAGCGGGATGCTGTCGGGTAAGAGCTTTATGTATGGCGTCTGTCATGCGGAAAGTGTATTCCTCCGTTTTCTTGAGTGCAATACCTCTACCTGGAGCATGACGCCTGTTGCATGTGCATTGGAACTTCGATAATGCTTTACCGACTCCAGCATGGTTTGTGGCCACTGTCCAAGGTTTCTTCAAAGGATCATTGTCTTGATTTACCATTCCAAGAGCACATCCATCAAAATGATATGCAATCATCCCATAAAAGTTCAACAGCTTTGCAACTTTGGTCAATTTCCAATATCGACATTTTCGTGGCCACTCGAGTGCAATGTGTACTTCACAGTTCAACATCCGAAGAAACGATTTCAAGGAAATCCAAAGTCGGTCAAACTCTCTGACATGTTTCAACACCTTTTCACGTGCACTGGGATTTTTCATGTTGATATACGTCCATGGTGTACCCCCCGTGCACGGTAGGCTGATCCATATAAATGGTTTCACATCACCTTTGAAAGAGTTGACGTACTCTGCAATCCTCATTTGGTTTTCGACTTCGTTTAGATCAAATTCTTCAGTGAACTGTAGTACTTCACAACCTTCGGACCACTTTCTGTTGGTTTGGCTGAGTTTGGACTCGGGATGACAGCAAACTTCAACGATCAGTCTCTTGGTATCAGACTTGGCAGCGGGTCCCCCCGTGCTTGGTGTGGCAATGATTGGAGGTGTGATGGCCTCCGACGCCGACGCCAAAGCTTTCGGTGGGGTAATCTTCTTGGTGGGGGCCAATGCAAGAAGTTTGACAGCTAGTTTCCATTTCTCTGCATTAACAAATGGTTTCGTGAGAATGTCTGCAGCTTGGAGCATGCTTGGACCATGGACTAGCTTATACCACCTTCTTTTAAACTGTTCCTCCAGCCAAGACAGATTAACTCGCTGTGTTTTGTCTGTATGCCGGAAAGTGGGTGATTTTCCGTTCTCAAGGATTCTGATGGTGGCCTGATTGTCCTCTACAAAAACACCTTTTATCGACCGTGGGGAAAACATTGAGATCATACATTCTCCCTCTTTCTCACGTCCTACGAACTCGTAGTCGGTGATGGCTTCACGGATTTCGACCGATTCGATGTTGTAGTCAGACTCGTAGGGACCATAGACCCTGAAGAAAGTCTTGCCGGTCCACTCCCCGTTGATCGGGTAGTCAACTTTGACCTTCCAATTGTCCTGCATGAAGTCAACCATTCCGTCCTTTAGCATCACGGTGGTTCGAGCATATCCGATACGCTTAAGGTTAATGAGTGACTTGGACATGTCAACGGGTGTGAACAAATGTGACCTTGGTTTTGTATGGACTCGGACGAGCAATCTTCTACTTCTCATGAATTGCCAGTACTCCCCATTGGATTCTTTTTGGGTTTCAATGTCATGCCTTGGCAAACCTCCCGGTATGCTGTCTTTTGGTGCTCTCTCCCCCCCCGCGTTCTGGAGGTATGCCCACAAACCGGAGGAAGGTAGACCGACAGCTCTGAGGGATACGTTTGCACTGACAACTTCACTTTCGGTGCTTGACATCGCAACGGCAGTTTGTTTCTTACTGAATGCTGTGAGCGGGAAGTAGGTATTGGGGCCTACAAGAACTAACAAACAACCACTGGTGGATCGATTGTCGTACTCCCCTGCATGGTCTGCGTCAGCAAACAGCCAAAGCCTACACTCACTAACCTTGTCCCCTATGAAAGCCCTTTGCTTGTGATCCAGGGTGGAATTAATGTAACAAATAAGTCTGTGCAGTGCCTTATCGCATTCTGCACTCCATTTTGTCACACGAGCTGCTAGGCCTTGGACGGCGCACAGCAAGTCGAAACGTGCCATCCTGGCTGCAAATAGCACTTTCATAAGGACCCTTGCGGCTATTGGAGCCAATACGCCTTTGGTTTCCTTCTCATCGGCAATGGGCCGTGCAATTCTTTCTTCATGAAATGGTGTGGAAACTTGTTTCAAAGGCTTGGCATCCCTGCCCGCGAGTGAAATGTAACATTCAACACATGATTTGAGGAAAGGCTCCATATCATATGTGAATGTAGTCACAGGTTTTTGCATGCAGGGTTGGTTCTCATACAGTTGGTCCATATAAGAGAAACCTTCCGCTCTAGCTTTCTTTTTGGCTCCGGACTTATCCCTCTTGATGGTGGCCATGGCAGCCTTTGGATCTTTGCATGATGTTGGAAAGAAGTATGTTGTGCCAACCCATGAATCATTGAGACTACCCCCTTTGTTCACGTTGGATCCAATTCCAATAGTATCCCATTGCTCAACTTCACTTCCATTGTTGTTACATGGGATTGCATTCGTGAATCTAAATGGGGCTAGTTGGCATGACTTAACCACTTCTTCATCGGGCAAAAATAGTTTCTTCCTTGGCTGCACATGGTGTCTCATGTAGACATCGTTGACGGTGTCGAGCTCCCAGAAATCCTGAGTCCTGTGGCACGCGGCGGCGGCAGGCGCGGCCGGATCGGCCAGTGACTTGTCAAAGACATGAGCATAAGGGTGATCCTCGACCTTGAGCTTTACGTTGTGTTGAGCTACATGGTCGCATCCAAGATATCTATTGACTTCCCCGGGAGTGTCCATGTCAATCTTTGATGCAATCAAACTCCATCCCTTTGACATGTTTTCTTTGGGACCGGACATCTTAAAATCGTCAACATACACGACAAGCAACAATTTGAGCTCTGGATGGAAAAACACCGAAGGCCACCCTTCCGGGTCTGGCATGATAAAGCCCACTAGTTTCAACATGGCTTCACAGTACTGTTCCCAGAGTCCCCCCGAGTCGGGGTGACCGTAAAGAGCGATGCGAAGCAACACAACTGGTCTAATGAACTTATCATGCCACTCTTTGGGCCATCGATCGGGTGGCAGTTCCACCCACGTCTCCACGCCCTTCCATAAGGCTTGAGTGTAAGCTTGTACTCCATCATTTTGTTGGGTTATGAATCCCGGTTGAGCTCCGTAGGCATCTACTGCTTTGCCAGCTTCCATGGTGGCAGGCGAAGACCCTAATTCCGAGAACAGAGCAACGTCGGCGCTTTCGTCCTTTACATTGTTGCCTTGAAATACTGTTCTCCCTTTGAATTTTCGGAGTTTATCTCCTTCGGGTAATTCACTTCCCTTTTCAACGCAAATCTCAAAGACCTTTCCTACATGGACCTTCTTCCCAGTCTTCTTGGCCTTGTCGGCAATGACCTTCCATTCGGCCACTGTCTCATATTGCCAAGCCTTCTTCTTTACCAGTTTGTCCCATTCTACATCTAAGGCTTGCTGGGCTTTGGGATTGGCTCTAATTTCCTTTTTCCCCACTGGCCTAGCCACCAAAGTGTTAACGGCTTTCTCCCCAGATTGGATTCCAAGCCTAATACACTTAACTCGATGCTTTTGAGGGTTCATCTGGCAAACAGGCATAGCTGGGATGAATTCGTAGGATAAACCTTCATCCAATTCATTTGGTGATTCCTTGAGAGTTCCGATCATGGGTACAGCTTTCACTCTTCTGGCGCGTTTCTTTTCCTTTTCTTCCAGGGCTAATTTCCGTTGCTCATCTGCAATCGATGCTCTTCTTTCTTTTTGAGACATTGCTTGCCAAACAAATGGAGGGATGTCCTTTGGTTTGCTTGAATTCTTGTATTTTCTTGCTTTAAACCCACCTGCGTCATAGAATGAGGGGTCATTAGTCTTGATTCTTTCGAGCTCCCCTGTGATCGGATTGATTACCTCGACTTCGGCATCAGGTACAGCTCCTCTGATGGGCTCGTCCACACGGTTCCTCAGGTCGATCGGCTCTTTTGAGAATATTGTGACAATCACTTCATGAACCTCAATGTCCTTTCCAAGGTCTTCGACCGGAGGATCAATCTTCAAGTTTTCTTCGTGGACATGCCATGATTCATCATCTTTAATGCATGTTGTCCGAAACGGAAAATCGGCTGCATCAAAGTCGGGAGATGGACCTATACACTGATTGTCGATGATCCGAACATTCACCTTGCAATTGGCGTATTCGTACCATGCTTCCTTGTGATCAATATGCTTGAAAAATTCCAACCATCCCTGGTGATAGACTGCGGATGCACTGGATTGTTGTACAGGCTGTCCAGCTTCAATGTCAGTAATTGATCTCTTGACTGGGCCTGGCTCCCGCACAGGCTGAGCATCTTGCTCTTCCGGTGGCGGTAATGCATCCTGCTCATCACACAGCTGGTTTGGTTTCAAGCTACCGTCTCGGATGGCATCGGCACGTTTGCGACAGGGAAATTCAATCCTCTCGGGTACTGAAACCTTTAACACCCTCAATACGGTGACGGATTGGTCAAAATCTGCATCATTGATTTGCTTTAAAGAAGCTACTGCAAATTCTTTTCTCCAATGGAAGCCTGGATGGATGACATATCCTAGGAAGATACCAGGTTCAGTGGTCGGTTCGAACTTCATCTGTTTCTTTGGTTTCTTCCGAGGTCCATTCCAATAGTCCACCTTACATCCAAACGGGATAAGTGGTCCTTCGAAGTCTGTCCCAAACCTCAGTTTCCATGGTGTGTCCTTTCCGGTCCCATCTGGTGCCGTGTCATGCATGATGCACCAATGTCTGGCAGCATAAGGCCAATATCCATGGTGAAGTCCTGCTTGAAGTAAATTGGCACGCGTTCCTTCCAATGTGGACCGCACGGCTCGTTCGGCAATGGCATTGGATGTCGAAATGTAATCTTTACTGATTTGATGCCTGATCTTCATAGCTCTCATAGCTGCTACAATTTCTGGGGCATTATCACTGTAAAAGATTCCAATTTTCTCCAAGTCATCAACGAAATGTTTCATTGCCAGTGTGGTGTTGGAAGTGTCACGGCGTGCAACGGGGTAAACATATCGAAAATCAGTGGCAACATCCTTAAGTACCATTGCGACCCTATCTCCATCAACACCGGTTTCAGGGTCCGATTTGGCAATAAGATAGTCACCTGTGACATGATCCCCAAACTTCTTTGCATCGACCATGGATGATCCTCCTTTAGAGTAACCGGGTGGCTTGTACATCTTGGCCTTTGTACAGACATCACAGTATGGATTCTTGGGAATATGGGTAAGCATGTGTCGTTTGCTCTTAGCTTCAGCCTTGAGTGCGGCCTTACCCCTCTCCCTACGTCTTTCCGTTTCCGGGTCACGACGGACTTCATCCCTTGAATCATCAACATCATCAGGCTGGACCTCCCGGTCAGCTGGTGCACTGCCTTCTTCATCGGAGGGCGCATCGGCACCGGGATCGCCTGAGATGTCGGGTACAAGGTCATCGTCAAACTTTGATGAATTACCTCCTACAACTGCAGGTTCGTCATCTTCATATTCTTCGTCGTAAAGGTCTGGTGACGGGGGAGAATCCTCCTCTTCTATGAAGCCTGACTCGGATCCTGATGAACTAGCCATCACTTTAACTCTCTTCAGGGGAGAACCATTGTTGCTTGATTTTGCCACCGTGGACACACTTGGTTGATTTGATTTGGAACATAGATATGGGACATAGTCTCTGACCTCAAGTTCAATGACCTTCCCATCCGGTGAAACTAATTTCGGCTTCTCATTCTTGGAGCCCCTCCACACGAAGTCAAACCCATCCTCAACGCACCTGAGTCCAACTGATAAAACAGGAGGTGAACTTTGCACCAGGTACGGTGACACGGTAGCATTCAGCTCTGGGACTTTGACCTTGCCCTGCTTCACGGATGAACTTTCCCCATTTGCAGTGATGAAACGGATTGGATTATCGGAAAAATAACCATAATGATCCGGTGCATGGTGATCAGTGAGTAAATCTTGTGCACTACCGGTATCAACAATCCAATCGATAGAGGCTTCGAAACATCCATCAACGTACTCCTCGGATTTGGCAGGCATTGCAACTATTTCCTTTGGAATACAGTGATCACAACCAAACATGGTGTCACATTCATAGTTGCATTTGCAGACATTGTTCATTAACGAATTCTTGACTGCTCCGGCCAACATGTTCGCTGACAAACATGCGTCCTCTACGTCTCTTCGGTCAAAATCAAACGGATAGTTGATAGGAAAAGTTCTCTTGTATCTCCTTGAAGCTGGATTGATAGGCTCAAGGTCCCCCTTGGCAATGACTTGATACACATCGTGATTGGTGTCAAATGTCACTGCTGGGCAACTGATCACATCAATGGGTGGCATAAGGCATGCATTGGATACGGATGCTAACATCGAGGCAATCAGGCAGACGGCTGCTGGGGAAGCTTTGGGAGTGTCAGGCTTGCCTCTATTCCCCTTTGGGGAGCGGCTATTCCTGGGACTCCTTGATCCCTTCTGCTTTGGCGAGCGGTCCCTGCCTTTTCCTGGACTTCTGCTGTTCCTTCGTCTGGATCCTTTCGAGTCATTGGACGAAGGCCTGGCAGGAGTGGCAGCACGAGGAGACTTGGTTTGCTTACCCTCGTGACTAAACCTACAGTCATTGCCTCTGTTGCATCTTCCCTGTTTCCAAAACTTGCATGGCTGCTTCTTCTTGCTCTTATCGTTCTTACCCCTTGACGATGATCTGCCACGGTCGGATGAGGGTCGTGATTGACTTCTGTCTTTCTTTGGTGGAGGCTTTTCATGTTTGAATGGGCAGGCATCATTCGTGCAGGTCCCTTTATTCCACTTGACACAGTATCCCTTTGGAATGTACCCAGTCTTCTCACCCACAGCCGGAGCTGCGCTGGACGACGAGGCACCGAGGGTCCTGGCAACTCGTTCACGGTTGGACTCGAGTCGCTCCCTATCCAAGTAGCGGCGAACTGCTGTCACTAGGAAATCGTAGGACTTCTTTTCGGTCCCATCCTCAGCACGATGATATTCCTGCAAGTCGTGTGCTATTGCTTTACTGGTCTTGACTTGGTTAAAGAACAGAGTCTCCAGAATGCTAATCTCAGGAATTTTGGGGATACCAGCCATCACTTGATCCCAATTGCTGATGAATCCGCGTAGGTTGTCACCCTTAAGTTTGACACTGAACAAATCCTGTAGTGAGTAGGTCGCTCCATGCTTGATGTTTGTACTGAAATGTTCATGCATCATAAACAGTACTTGACGGCCCCTCACATAACGATGGTTTGTTGCTTCAGTCTCTTTATAAGTGTCAACCTTTCTTGCGAAATCACCTGTGAGAATATTGGTGAGCGCGGACAGCAACTTGGCATCCAGTTTGGTGAACTTGCCTACGTCACGAAGAGCCCCGATTGTTTGGCCTTCTTTCCAGGTCTCACTTATCCAATCAAATGCTTTATCAGGGTCAGTAGATGCTGACATTACAGCTTCCCTTGTGCGAATCCTCCAATTTCTGTATGACTCCGCATGGGGAAAAGCTGGAACTTTCACAGTGTCGGCTTCTTTGACCTTGTTCTTTTCATGTGACTGGTCCCTGGAACTGCCGAACATGGCTCTCATGCGACGGATGAATCGATGGTCACTATCATCAGAATTGTACCCATCCCCGTCTCCATCATCATCATCACCGTCCCCAGGCCCACCTCCCGGTGGGCGTCGGCTCCCCGGAGGGGGCTTCTTCCCACGATTGTCCTTACCACGTTTGCTGTCGCGATCTGCCTGTGAGTCCCTGTCATCATCTGGAGGGTCAGGTCCTGGTGGCTTTCCACCTGCATCCGATGGTGCAACACTTGTTGGTGGATACGTTGGGGACCTAAGACCGGTTATCTCAGAGACAGGATCCTTATTATCCACTGGTGCATTTCCTTCCGGGTCAAGCATTTCCCATATATCTTGGTTGGGTTCCGCTGGTTTAGACGCACTTGCTGATGCAAATGACGGCAACGGTGCAGAGTACTTGACCTCAGTGGACGGCGGTATTATGGCAGTGGCAGTCTGGACAATTGGAATCGGCATTGGGCCTATTGTGTCAAGGAGTTTACTCATCCTCATGTTCATGGATTCGGTTTGCAACTGTTGGGCCTTTATTTGCTCACTCTGTTGCTTGATGATGGATTCAAGTTGGGACATCTGCATCTTACGATGTTCATCCTGGCGTTCATAGTGATCCCTGAGTGATTGGATTTGTTGTTCCTTCGTTGCATTTGACTGTCTGGCATTTCCGTCTAAAACCCTTTTATATACTTCCCCTTGTTGGGCCAATTCTTCACGAAATTGATTTTCCCGACTCTCTGCGAGCAACATCATCTGTTGCATCCGGGCACTCGCAGCTTGTTCTTCTGCATGGAACCTACCGCTCATTTCGGACATCATCGATTGCACCATGTGTTCAGTGTTGGCTAATGCCTCTCGATGACGTGCTTCGGCAACCTGCTCTACCATCTGTGTAATTGCAGGGTCGTGTGAATTCACGTACACTTCATTGTTTTGTACCTGTCGTAGATTCATGGTGTTGTTCACCTCAGTCATCTCATGGTGGTGTACCTCGACAGTGTTGGATTGTACATGATGTGAGCCGGCAGGCATGCCCTCCCGGGATGCGTGAAAGTCATATCCACGGTGTGAAAACCTCTGGGCTCCACTTTGGGGCACAACGGCGCCTGGTGGAAGCGGGACACGGACCTCACGTTTATCACTGCGGGAGCGTTCTGAAGGAGTCTGGGAAGTCGTGTGACTTGGTGCATTGTTTCCAGTTTGGCCATTGTCTGCATCCTCGATCGCCATGGCTTGATGGATCCCGGAATCGCGCGAGCCCTCTGGAGATGGTTTTCCAAAGGGGGCAGACATTTACTTACAAAAGGAACGTATCTGGCGATACGGCTGATAACCTATATTCACAGGTTATTCAACCTAGATCAGCCAGCAAGCAAGCACACTGTTTTGTTCTTGAGCCATAAAGTCAGGTGATATACATAGTAGACTACAGGGCACACTTTACAGGGAGGTTACGGATACTACCTAATGACATCCCGTAAAAATAATTTCTATTGATTTCTCATTTATTTCTATTGATTTCTCATTTTCAGTGGTATTTGTCCAGTGAAACTACCAGAGGTTACAGGAATATCTGCACCATTGACGTTCATTGACGTTCGGCCCTGGCCCAGGGCCTGGTCGATGGTGTCACGCACTCCACCTCCCCGATCGACGCATTGGGTTCGCATCCAACACTGCTCATTTTCGCCAAAGATCTGCCGCTCGGTTTGCAACCTGTTGAAATCACCGGAGAAGCAAAACGGAGAAGTCCACCTGTTGAGAGAATCTCCCTAATGTCCTGGTAATGACTAACAGTTTGCTATGGAAAATGGCCATAGAAATAGTGGATGTTCCCATTAATAGCATGGTGATTGTCCATAGTTATGTAAACGTTTACCAGAGGCTAATGTCCTGGAGTAGCACACAATAAAGCCACTGAAAAAAAAACAAGATCAACAGGGCTCAACAGAAAACTGTTGAGTCGAATGCACTAATGTCCCATTCAGTCTTGCTTCCCATCCTGTAAGAGAATATGTCAGTGTCTGCGAATTAAATGTACCACTACTACAATCATTGCCGAAATTAAAAAAATAGACCCCGACTTGTACACATGAAGATATGGCTTTTGCCCAAAAAAAATGGGTGCCCCAAAAAAATCCGATCGTTAATTCTCATGTTCCTTTTTCTGTTGAGCCATATACTGGGCTATCTCAGATGGCCATCCCCCCCCATCACCAATCTTCCCCAAGGGACCAGATGAGCTGTCGGAGCCGCCGGATCATGAACATGTCTGGTTTCGCCGTGCCATCACCTGCGTTCTTGAAGTCACGCAGCCACCTGGCGTGAATCTTGGGCGAGACACCATCTTTCTACGAATGGGTGTTGCAGAGGGAAGCGACTCCCATAGCGTTATATAGCCATCTTAGTAGGGAAATGGATGGAAATGGTTGATAAACTCAATAGGTTTAGGGTATACCAACTTTTGGGGCACATCCATATTTACCCACTTGTATTGCTGCTGCAATCTTGAGGGTGCTCAGCACGGGCCATGGCAAAAGACAGGCCTGGCTGCATCATGCGGGTTTGCTAGCGCTGCCTTGCAGAATTGGTGAATTTAGGTGCGGGCCGCCTTGAAGAGGAAAAACTACCAGACCCACACCAATTGTCAACCACTGGTATAGTATATGTATATATATATACTATATAGTATATATATATATACTATATAGTATATATATATACTATATAGTATATATAGTATATATAGTACAAAACTTCATGTCAACTATTTTTGGCATAACACCCCAGATGGCTTGGAAAAAAACCCTGTCATTTGCCACAAGGGGATCCGTCAAACCTATATGAAATAGGTTGAAGAAAAGTGTGGGAACATCAATAAACCCCATCCCATCCATTTTGCTAACAGAACGGTACCAGGGTTCTGGCACAAGAGCCATAAATTGGGGTACACCTTGGTTATCTAACGTAGCCAATGAAAATGGATGAACATTGACAATTTATAGATGATAAACATGATGATTTAGCACATGGGCGTCTTCTACAGTCGAAAAAATTGATGATTTAGTGAGTTTCTAACTAGCCGTGATTAAATATTGATGATTTAGAAAACAACATGCTTAAAAAACTTCCACATGGTGATTAAGTAGCCAGACGAATTTCATCCCACGAATTTCACTAGTGTCTCCTCTGGGTCCATCGCAGCATAGCTGATCTGAGAACCTCCGGTGCCATCAAACATAGCTGGGAAATCCCGTATGGCATTTGAATGGGAAAATCAATGAACATCTATAAATGGTGGATTTATGGGGATTGTCCATTAGCGATATTAGCGTGTTTGCTTTTTTGATTCGCCTAATACTTCGTGGAAAGCTCCAACTGGAAGGGCATGATAATTCCAAGGGGCAAGGGGAAAGAATCCAATCAGCAACTTCCAAGATGAGACACCTTTGGAATAGTTGGCCAATTGAAAATATTGAAATAAGATTATTGACCAACTCTGGATTTTGAACACAATGACCGAATAGTCCATCTATGAAAAAGGAACACTCCAAAGACACAAATTGAGACTCTCCGACAACAAACAAATGGAATGGTTCTTTTTTTTGAAGGAAACGATCACCTTACACGATACGAAGACCACTTGGTATTGCTGGTATCATTCACTGGAGACGACGAAGAGCAAATGTGGGACGAAACTGTTTGCTTTGCAAAAACAAGATCTAAGTATCAATGACACAAGCTCATGACTCCCCTCGCAAAGAAAAATCTTTGATATGGTTTCGTTTAATGCCCACCGTTTTTGAATTGATTCGCGTTGCATTTGCGCTGATAGTGACTGAATGTCATTCAGTGATGATGGCAGGCCATTCTAGTACGAGTTACTATATCCGTAGGGGACACGATTCCATTTCAATGGGTTGCTTGCAATCTTGCAATGGTATGTGAGAAAAAGTGCCTTTGGCGACCATCTAAATGCAATGCACATGTTTTATAGCTGGCATCGCTGCCATGGCTGCAGTCTTCAGACAAGTTTCTCTGAGAACAGCTTGAAGATGAAGCTGGGAGGTTCTTCTCAATGTCGGGCTTCTCCTCCTGCATTGAAGTGACGCTTGCCTTGATAAAACATGATCAAACTGGGTGAACGTGAACCGCCAAATCGAACTACTTCCGTTCCCAAAAGAGGAATAATCATCCAGAAACCTGATTTGGTGCTGGATCATCTGAATTTGTTGGTTTTAGTTTTTGGGTTCGCTTTTTTGGTGGCTGCTTATGATGGGGGGGATGGGATGATGCTGATTCTATTTTAATGTGCCAAACCCAAGAACAAACCATTCAAACCAATCCACAATTTTGCCAGAAAATCTGTGGTGTCTGTGGTATTCATTAATTATGGTGTCTACCACATTGGGTGGTTTCGTGGATGGTAAAACAACTGGGCGATTCCCGGCATGCCTCGCTCGTTGGCTCGGTTTTTCGTGAAGTCCACCGTCTTCTCACCCCCATCATCCGAAGCCTGAGATGCCATGAAAATCCAGGCAGGAACTCCTTGGGATGGCTAAAGGCTGGCGCATTCCCACTGCTCGAAGTTCTGAACGTCTTCGAAACCACCCGCAGCGGTTTCTCAGCGGATTGCTTCTTTCGGGACACATTTAAAAACTGGAATCCCCCATTTTTCATAGGAAAAACCCATGGTTTCAGGTGTTCAGATCTTGCGCAAGCAAAAACCATCAACAAACCACCAAAAACCAGCGGTTGAGCTCTTGGATCTTCCCTTTTTTTATCGGTCCGGACCTCTTGCAGCAGAATGCGCCAGATGCGGATCGCAATCGTTTCTTGCAGCCCATGGCTCCACCGTGGCATCGGGGTTTCTGCTGAAAAGGGCCGTTTCCCAAAAAAAACGGGTGGTTTTTAGGGGGCTCCAAAGTTATCAAAGTTTGAGTCTAGTGATATGTTGGATGGTGGAACTTGGAAGTTTGGGAACCGGTTTGAATAGTATTCAGAAAAAGCAAACCTTGCTCGTCGATTCAAGTGTCGAGCCCTCTGGAAGATGGGATCAGCTTTGCTCATGGAGACTATTCATGCTGCGGAAAGGTGCTGAAACAGCGGAGAGCATCCCATTTTGACATATGTTCACTACCTGTTGCATTTTTGTATGTGTTCACTTTCCACACTTTAACTTGGGGCCCATTTCCGAACCCCACACATTTGGGACATCCAACCGTCCATGCTGTTTTCACACATCGCTTAAGGCTTAAAAAAACACATCGGCCACCGCAGTTCTGGAATTTCCATGTCCTCCATGCCAGGCACGTCGGCACGTCGGGATGGACTGTTTCCATCAACGTTTCCTTTCCTATCACTACCCGATGTACGCGTCTAACGAGCAAGGTGAAGAATTGCCACCGAACTTATCGACTTATCTCGAAGCTCTACAGACTCTACAGAGCAACCGCATGATCTCCCGATGGCGATTGTTTGTGATGTTCCGTCGATGCATTGTTCCCAATCGTCCATGGCGAAGTCCACAATAAACTCTCATGTGATAAGATCTCGCGCCTTCAAAGTGATGTCAATGAACTCGGCCCATTGGAATCAGCTGGTGGCTCATAGCTGAACAGGTCGTCCGAGTTTTTGCATCATCTGGGTGCCCTGGGTGCCCTGGGTCCCCTGGAATAGCCAAAGGCACCAGCTCAACAAACTGATCTTTTAGTTTCAGTTCCAACATTGTTCGTAGCGAAAAATGAAGACATCTGGGCCTGCGACTTCTGCTGGGGCCTGGGCAAGCAGCGGAATTGAAAAAGGCAGACCCTTGCGAAACACAAACAAGGAAGTGGAACTCTCTCTCGCTCTCTCTCTCTCTCTCACAATAATGGTGATTGTTACAAACCTAAAAAGCACCATAATGATGATCATCATCACCACCATCACAAGTATCATGATCATCGTCACCATCCATTGCCATCATCACCATCATAATCATCACCATCACCATCACCATCACCATCATCATCATCATCATCATCATCATGCAAACAATCGTTCCATCATCAATCATCAATCACCAATAATCAACCATCAAAATTATCACCATCATCACCATCACCACCACCACCACCATCAGCACCCTTCAATCATTCAATCATCAATATCACCACCATTCAAGCCTCAATCATCAATATCATGATAAGCATCACCACTCAATCATCAATCAGCCATCATCAATCACCAACCATTGATCATCGATAATCAATCATCAATCATCCATCGTGCATCATCCATCATCCATCATCAGCCATCAATCATCCGGCATTAGAAATCTGGAAGTTGAAAATTGTTTCCTCATTTCTCTGAGCTATGCTGCCCAGTTTGCAAGGTTTTCTGATTACCGCAATTTGCCATTGAGCTATCATGCTGCAAGTCTCAATATCTAGCTACATTTGTATCAGCTTGCTGAGATGCCAGAAAGTGTAGACCACCCATGGCCCCCAAGCCTTGCTACTCCGTGAAATCGCCGCGAGTGGTGCGGTGGTTTGCATCTTGCTGCACTTCCTCCTCCAATGGAGGGGTTCGCCCAGCAAAAAACTCAGGAGTTGACCAGTAAAACGTGTGATTTCACGTAACAAAGCAGGCTGCCTCACCATCAAAAGCTTTGTCTTCCAGGGGGATACCAATCTGGGATACAACAAAATATTGGGTCCCTAAAAATTGGGTCCCATGACTTCGCTGGGGCCATCCGTCGTTTTCAAGACATGCTGCTGCTTCCATTGCTGACATCACCATCATTTACATCCGTCAGCTTTGCTGCACTGACTCTATGACGGTCTCCAGGGCGTTCGCCGAAGACCGTGGGTACCGTGGACTGGGATGCTTCACTGGACATACCCGCTGTGCTGAAGATGAATTGGAAATGGCCCCCAAAAAAAACTTTGCACAAATGGTTGTAAGATGTCGCAAGTATGGATAGTATAGATTGGTACAGGAAAGTGATGGGAATTGGGGTCCAATCAAGTCCTTTCAAAATGTGAACCTAAAGTTCTGCGTTCTGCCTCCTGAGGCATATGGCATGGGCATACCCTCCTCTTTTGACACATAGTGTGAAACTCTGGGTTGATCATAGGACTGTGAAAAACCAACAACAAAGCTATAGCGGCTATAGCGGACATTCCAAGATCGGTGAGAGGGCCAGAAGGGGAGGGGAAACGCTTGTGTTGGTAGCTAGGTGTTAAACATTGTTAAACACTGCAGCCTTCCGGGTTTCCGGTGCGGCTAAACAGTGTGTGGATTTGTCCGGATCAATTTTTCTTCGACATGTTCCGTTCTTCGAATAGTCGTTTCCGTTGTATCTCAGCTTCACTGAGGCACAATCCCCTCGTCAACCAAATTCCAATCAGAATCTTCAACTTCACCCGTAACAGGCATTTTTTCCAAATGTTACAAGTGTTTATGTAATATAATGTACTATAATGTAATAGATCTTCTATACTTCCAGGGATAACAAACACAAAACCACGAAATGTTGACGCGAAAATCACTGCGGCACCACCGTCTCGCTGCCCCGCGCGATGGCCGGCCACGCGCAGCAGCCCCGGTGCGGCCGCGAGCCCTCCGAGGTGGCGCTAAACGAGCTCATCATGGAGCCCGGCGCCAGATCCGTGCAGCACGGCCTGGGACCCGGTGCGCTGGGGGGCCTCCATCCGGATGAGTTGGTTGGGAAAATGCCAAGGAAAATTGAAACAAACTACTATCTGTAGAAAAAGATCACAGAATTGGTTTTCTTATGTGAAAATGTGTGAAAAAGTGTGTTTTCACTCTCTTGTCACCAGCATGTGCTGATACTGGCTTGGGTTAAGTTTGTATCATCGAACATATGTATCACCTTCCAGGGCTCACGTTTCACGCTACCAACCGGAACCGAATATTGGGACCAAAGCCCATGATACAGATATTGGATGATGTTGGCTCATGTTGGTAGGTATCCATTTTTATGGGTAATCATCACCAATAAACCAGAAACCCTGCTTTTGCGTACGCAGTGCATTCCATTTTGGGGGTCCCAAACATGCGTCCCAGCATGGTTCTTATCAACCGGAAGATATCATGACTTGGAGGATCATCCCACAAATCGTAAGTGGTTAATAATCCTAGTTCGTAAGTTCCCTTTTTTAGCGGGGTATCCTGTTTTTTTCGTTGGTTATATGATATTATATTTAAAAAAACACACATCTATTGCTGAACCAACTTTGGTTATTAACCACATTAACAAATCTGTTGGATGATCCTCCAAGTAGTACGTACCCTCCTGTAAACTAACAGTTCGATGTGGAAATTCATTAAACACCATTTGAATAGGTAGTTGGAATGACCATTCTATGGGTTTTCCACATCATGTCTAGCCTGAGGTCGAAAGGATGCCAAGGATCTGAAGTTTGGACCAAGTGGACCAGTTCTGGAGGAAATGGCTGCAGTAGCGAATGGCTGCGCGATGCGTCGTAGCACATTGAGACACGATGCGACAGAAGGGCCCCACTTCCAACAGGACCAAACCTAGGTGGAGAGGGCTCAACCCTCTCCAAAGGGTATGGAGGATTTTTGAAATTTTAGCCATCATCCCGTGTCTTGGGTAAATATATAATATTGTGTATGTATATATATATATATATATTTATTTATGTGTATTAATATATATATATATATTATTTATTTATTTATTAATACAGTATGTATAAAATTGTTTAGCACTAGAAGACCAAAGAAGGCCGTCTTCTCCATTCGCATTTCTGCCAAGGAGCTGGACACATCCTCCGCCACCAAGTCACCTTGATATACCGAATTGGCCCATAAACAAATTTCAGAAACCCAGGACTCCTCAGTCAGTGCTAATTGTTTCTCCTCATCCTCCTGGCTATAGAAGTAGCCTCAGCATGGCACCAAGGGATCCAAGGGGCTTGTCCAAAAATGGGGAAAATGATGATTACAGATGATTACAGTAGCTTGTTTGAAAGAAGGATGCCCTAGTTTCAAACAAAGCCAAATTGCGGATCATCCTTCCATTTTCAAAGTGGAAACTGGACAAATTCTGAAGCCACCATATCAATGGGCTATACCGTCATATAGTTCCATATGTAAACTTACCCGATCGTTCCGTCTTGTTTCTTATGTAAAAATATACCCCATAGAACTGGGGTACCATAGAAATGAGCCACACGTGGCAAACATTTTCTTGGGAAATCAAAACCTCCAAAACCTCCAAAACCACGGCCATTCCAAACACTTTGTCAAGTGGTATCATCTTCCAGGTCGGGTGAAAAGTTGAAATCCTGGGTCGAAATTCATCCCAGGGCGCTCAATGGTCCATTGATCTTCAAGAAGGCGTGGTCTGCTGTGCGGCCGCAAAGAAAGATCACATCTTTGGTGGCAGCCACCAGATCTGTCATGGCATTCACAGCCAAATCCTGCATCACTTGCAGGACTTGTAGGTCATCGGTCGGAAGCAGCCTGTCGTCTCGACTGAGGCAATGTGTTTTTGTCTCTGAAAAAGAAAAAACACTGGAGGCAAAATACCCAAAATCATCCCAAATGGAATTCCTGGAAGAACGTATTGGATTGATTCCGTTTGGGCCCATGGAGGGGAATTTCATGTCAAGATACATTAGGGGGATAAGATATTTCAAAGACCTATATAGCTGTCCAAAGATTTCGCAGCAACCTTCACAAAAAACGCGTTTTGGCTGGCTTGGGCTTGCACTATCTTGTACCCTCTACAATGCTCGCATCTACTCGACATATAGTTTTAGACGACCAATGCGAAAAGGATTTGGAAGCCAGGCAGCTCATTGATGAAATCCAATTTCTCCATAGGTCCAGAGTTCCGCGCAAACTCCAGTTCCCGTCTCAAAGTTGGAGACAGCAACTGCAGTAAAGGCACATTGGCATGTGCTGATTTGGCTTCCTGCGAAGCGCGCACGCTTCCGGAGGAAAGTCCGGCCGAAATTGCGACTGGGGTTTTTCATGGCAGTCTTCGTCATGGCGTTGTTGGTTGATATCCCGAACGTAATTTTCTGAATATGTGTTTATACCAAAAAATAACGCATCAACATCATCGATATCATCAATATCATCATAAAGACCTATAAACCATATCTAAACTCAAGATAAATCATGATCATCAACGTCCTGTCTCAAATGGTACTGGTGCTGCAAAAAACGCAAAATCTTGTGGCTCAACTCTGCCCCGATGTTGTTGTAGGCCATATAGGATCTCAGCAATCGAAACTCCGAGGTCTCATCTTCCTGACAAGTTGAAACCAGTGAAATGACATGGCCAAATGCCAAATATAGTTCTGAAAATGTGGGTGAATTGAAGTTCCGGCCATGGTTATCTAAAAAATCTGTACCGGACTATGGGGAAAGTGACATGTTTGGGTCAACTGGAGTGTTTGATCCAAAGAATTGCCCGAAAAGTCCACTTTTGTGCAAGTCTCAACGGTTGAGACCTGTCACACCTCAGTTTTCTGCCGCAAATGAAACAAAACTAAAATTACCATGAAACTTCAATTGGCTGGTCGAAAACCAACACTCTAAGAACTTCTCTTAAGGTCCAAAAAAATCACCGATTCCAGTCCATCATCCCATCTCCCTCCATCTCGCCTTGATCTTGCTAAGCTGACTGGTCAAGCTTGTGATGGAACTCACCAGGGTGGCATATGTCATCAGGGACCGAAAGGCCACGATCACGAAGAAGGCGATCTCCAATGTATTCGTCGATCGGATGGAACTGAGCCCTACACCTGTACCGATGGAACTTGCCCCTAGTATATCAATGGCTGATGATTTTAAGCAGATCGCCCAGGAGAAAAAATAGAATGGTGTTCAAATTATAGCAAGATGTATATCATGTATAACTGGTATATGTATGTATATAAAAATTTGCAAATATATATATATATGCCAAACGTCCTTTTACTTCACCAGTAAAGAAGGAGATCTGCGATGGGTAAGGACACGGCACCGCCAGTTTGTGACCCATTTCATCAACTCGTCCCCATGCGAAAACACGGTATAGATGGGTGGTCATCAAACAACTCACCAGGGCGAGGTTACCCCCAACACCTTCATGGTGTGTTGGGCCAACCTACTTCCCACCGCAAGAGGGTGTGCCAAACCACTCTTTTGGATCAGTGGATGGGGCAGTGAGGCTGTCTAAATTTGGGGAAGCCCAAAGAGCTCCCAATCGCAGAAGCGGGGAAAAATCTAGCCTTGATGGCCATCTGACAGGTTGGATTTGGATTCCACTCTGTCGACATAGATAAACGCATGTGATTTGGACGCTTCGAGCCAAAAGTGGCCGACAATAGCAGCGCTATCAAGTTTGTTGCTGTAGCCTTTAACCAGGTTGGAAGCGGCACCGCCATTGTCAATGAACATGATAATGGGTCGGTCGGTGATTCTTCGCTTCCCTGTAGTCAAGGCAAAGGAAGCTGGCAAGAGCTGTGATTTCTTTGGGGCCCAGTTGGTGATGACTTCCATCGGTACCTGACTGGCCGAGTTCTGAGACGTCTGACGCATCCGTGTAGATGACTACTGGTTTGCCAATGGATAGGGGGACCTCACGGATCATCTCTTCGAGAAGCTCAAGGACCACTCGGTCGTACATGTTGTACTTGTCCGATGTCCTTGGATCCTTCCTGTTTGGCACTCGGACAGTTGGCCTCCGGGTGGCTTTACTCGGCGCTCCTCCTCGGGTGGAGGCGGAAGGGCTTTCTTCTTGAACTCAGCCGCTATCGGCCCGAGAGGCTTCGGAACTTCTCGACGGGGACTGGCTGACCTCCGATCGGTTGTCCCAGAGTCTTCCACTGGGGACGTCGGGGAGGGCGCTGGGCTGTCTGGACTTCCTTCCCCTTTTTTCTCGACCTTTGTGGTTTTGGGGGCCGTCTTTCTTTGGAGCGGGCCCACATCCTTTGGCCCGGACCTTTCACTCCCGCCCAACCGGGGTGGCCTTGTGGTCTTCACTACTCTGGTCGAGCTTGTCTTCTTCGACCGGATTGCTGACAGGATCTCCTTGCCTCAATACCCGTCCTCAAGTAGGCGGGCAATCACGGGCTCCAGAGGCTCCTGCGTGAAGGTTGTCGCCGATTTTCATAAGAGAAAGAGATTGCCGTTGCTGAAGTTTATCGCGTCTCCTCCGACGTCGGCTTCGGCTTCTCAGATGCAATCAGTCCGACCTAACAGTGCTCCGGGCAGAAGATGGCTGAGGTGGCTCCGGCGGCGCGGCGGGAGGGCCCGCGTTTGACATGTTTGACTCACCAGGGAACCACCACTCATCACCTATGCCCAAGTCTCTGCAGCGGCCTCGGGGACCAACCCAGTGTCTGCGTCCACCACTCCATATCTCTCTCACGCCCGGCTGTGAAACAGGGTGAGAGGTTTCTGGAGTGTCAGGGTGGACTAGAGCCAAAATGGCACCGCCACCATCATGTCCACAAACATCCACTTTAGTACAAGTACAAACTGTGGTTTATGTACATCATATATCAATGGATCGGTTTCAGGGAAAATCTACTGGAAGATTGGCGATGATCTCCAACTATTGCGCTT